TGGGGGCAGATATCTTACGATGAGCTATAATTTTCGTTCTCATAATTTTGATCGAAATGTGATTTAAATGTGAGAAGATTTATAAAAATTCAGCCCATATGATTTTACCGCAGCTGGTTGTTAAAATCATTTAAAATTGTTTTTCAAACCGTATTTGTTATTAAGTTCAGAAAAAACCAGTTGATATGATTTTCAGACTATGACTTACGACAAATAATCAGACTTAACAAATACTGTAGCTATTTTTTTTAATTAGTACTTTAAATTTATTTGGAAAATTGTATTCAATATTGGGAAACGACTCAGCCTTTTAAGGTCTCGAGACTATTCGTATCTTGACGATTTCTGTCACTAGGCCGCGAATTTGTTGGTTTGAAGAGGTTGCGTTCGGTTTGAAGAGGTTACGACTCGGTAGAATTGGTTGGAAAACAAAATCTTCTTAAATTCCGACTTCAAAAGATCGTCCACGCAAGAAAAATAATTCCACAGACCCAGGAAAAAACTGTATACGTACGGTTGCAGCCACCATGTCCTAGATCGTAAATGATGGGTGATATCGATGTAGAACTGTTTTGGGAGAGCGTGGGGATATATCGACTGTGATCTTGTAGGGTCCTCACCGATTGTCCAGGGGACCTCAATTGAGGATAACAATACGAAGCTGCGAGCAGTTCTATCCAGACTAAAGGATGCTGGCCTCGTGTTGCGCACGGCCAAGTGTAAGTTGCTACAGAGACAGACACTATTCATGGGGCATGTCTTATCGGCTTCTGATATACATCCAGACGCCAGCACCACCTCCCGTATTCTCGAGTGGCCAACGCCCAAGACGCCGCAAGCAGTTCGTCATTTTGTCGTTCTCGCGTCCTTCTATTGGAAGTTTGTTCGGGGTTTCGCTGGTATTGCCGCACCCCTTCACCGTCTGACTTAAAAGTCACGACCTTTCCGTTGGACGAACGAGTGTGAACAGGCCTTCATTCAGCTGGAAAAGGCTTCGACTTCTACCCTCATGCTCAGTCAACCGGATGTTTATCAATCAGCCGGTGAATTTATCCTGGATACCGATGCTAGTGATATGGCTATTGGAGCTGGTTTGTCCTAAAAGGCAGACGATACCGAAAAGGTTTTTGCATTCGCCAGGAGGAAATTGACTCAACCTGAACGGCGCTATAGCAAGACCAAGCGCGAGATGATAACATTGGTCTATTTTGTCAAATACTTCCGTCCGTACTTTCTGGGCCGTCACTTTTTAGTTCGTACAGACCAAAGCGCCCTCCAATGGCTCCAGAACATCCGCGAAACTGACGGACAAGTTGCACGTTGGCAAGAGGAACTGCAGGAATACGATTATACCTGCACATATCGGGCTATTTGCAGACAGTTGAACGCAGACGGATTGTTGCGATGCCTAGCAGATGCAAATGAGTCAGTTAACGCACAAGAATTGGCAGCCCTACAGGCAGCGGCCCCAGATGTTGGCGACATCTACGACCGGCAGTTACATGGTACTCGCAAACCCACCGGTAGAGAAATGGAAGGGAAGTCAGCCTCATCGCGCGCGTTACGGGGAAACTGGTCCCGCTTGCGGATAGAGAACTGCGTCCTGTTTATACAGGCGCAGTCTGACGAGTCACCGCGATTTTTTCTGCCAAGAGTCAAGGTGCCGGATATGATAACCCACATCTATCATCCACTGGGACACACAGGCCAGGGCAAGACGGATGAAGCCGTTTGCAGACCGTTTTGGTGGTCGAAATTTTACCAGGATTTGGTGTCTTACTGTCGCGGTTGCCCAGTGTGCACCCAGACCAAGCCTCCGACTATGACCCCTCGAGCGCGGCTACAACTTATCATCGTGGATGGCCCCAACCACCGAATTGTGGTAGATATAATTGGACCATTGTCACCCACCCGCCATCGTGACAACCGGTTCATACTGGTTATCGTCTACTTCTTTACCAAGTGGTGTGAGGCAAAACCCTTAAAAAACCAAGATGCAAGATCATTGGCGACGGCCATTATTAAAGACTGGATTTGCCGTTATGGTGCGCCTGAGATACTACACTCTGATCAGTGTACGGCGTTTGGAGTGTTCACTATCACCCCTTACCACCCGGAGGGAAACGGGCTTGCCGAGCAAACGAACAGGACAATCAAGAAGATTTTATCCACACTACTCGACTGTGAGTCCCCCGATAGTTGGGATGAGCATTTGTCCAAATGCCTGCTGGCAAACCAAGCCGCCGTCCACGAGTCAACTGGGTTTTCCCCCGCATTCCTTCATCTGGTTCATGAGTTGCGACGTCCGGCAAACATCCATTCTCCGCTAATTCCCGCTGAGGCCACGAGGATGGGAGAATAGGCCAGGTCCTTGAAAGAGCGTCTTGTTGTCGCTTACAGAACAACTGCTGGTAACATCCGAACTTATATGTAGACCACGGCCACCTCTCGGAGCGGCGAGGTAATTCCACCGACCCTGGCAGGGCCCGTATAGCAGCGGTCCGACAACACGTTCGTCCTTCGCGACCCACAGAATCCCCTCGCTGACGTATTCACCGTGCACTTTAACCAATTTAAGCCAGCACCTCAACAGCCCGCACTCCCAAGTCCCTCATTCTCCCTTGTCCTCTCCCGCCGACTCCCTTCCCCCCGTCGCACAGACGGTAGAGGTAACTTATAGTAGCACCCCGACCTAATCGCTAGTGACACTGTGGACAATGTCTCCTCTGAACTCTGTCAGCACCAGCCCCACCTAGCCCCCTCTTAATAGTCAGGGTAACCCGTGGACAAGGGTGAATTAAATGCATTGTACAAATTTCTCGAAATCTATTTTTTTTTCAAAAAAATATCACATACGATTATCTTGTATCTTCCTCTTTGTTAAACCCTTATAGCAATGGTCGCAATGTCCGCTGTCGAAATGTCATGCCATTTATCGCGGATGTATTTTATTGGTTGGCATTGGCCGGTCAATGCCAAACAGCAGGTGAAAGACAAGGACCGGACCGACGCCGCTGAAGACAAAGTGACAAAGCTACTAAAAGAGCTCCCCAAAGAAGGACTTTTATCTGACAAGGCGCTCGAGGGACTAAGAACAGTTGGTACTACAATCCCAAGAATGCATGGCCTTCCGAAGATCCATTAACAAGGTGCGCCACTTCGTCCTATCTTGAACATGCGAAATTCACCGTACCATGCCGTGGCAAAATGGCTTGTCAAAAACTTAAAGGCACTTCAGAGGCGCCTGTACCCTAGAAGCCTGAAAGACACGTTTGCATTTGTCGAGGCTATCAAGGATACGAACATTAACGAAACGATGATGCTGTCACTAG